TCGTGTCAATAACAAGATTGTTTGCGTCAAAAGTAACGATCGCTACGCTGCAACCAGAAGTCGCATAGTGGATCCAGGTTTCTTGAATACAGTCACATTAAACCCTGGTAATAATTTTATTCCCATCTGTGTTTTTGAAAATGATATTTTGCTGTTTAAGTTTAACGTAACTCACAATCTAACAGTCAACATTTACAATCTGGAAACGAATTCCCTAACAAAAACCAAAATACCAAATGTTGGCGTACGCATTTTTAACATATTGGCCATACACAAAGACAAAGACACGTTTCTTTTACTCTCAAATGGAGTTTTACTATCGGTCAAGAGAGGTTCTGACAACGCAATACAATTCACACCGGTAGTTTGTCTTTGGACTTTTCCATGGTGGCTGAGTGGAGCTGTGTGCTATAAAAACGAGCTGACTTTGTTTTGTACCGCAAGCCGTCGGCCACTCTGGCCAATTTTGACGTCCGTACCGGGATTGTTTGACAAGGTCAATGTTGTCGAGCTGGGCTCGAAGTTTCATATAAAAAATATGGTGCCTGTGGCAGCGCCTGTGTCTTGGTTCGGGTAATCAGCTGTGAGGTTCTGGCAGTGTTTTTTTTTGTTCCGTCGTCTGCTGTCACAAGTCATTAAATAAAAGTCGTCATTCAATGAGAACTATCGTAGGTCGTCAAATACAACATTCCATAAACGACTGATATTATCGGTGGCTAAACACATAATATAACTTTATTGTTTGACCAACTATTTCTTCGATTTTTGACTACATTGACAATTAAGGATTATAAGCGACTTTGATCTAGATCCATCACGTCGAAGAAACATGTTTTCTATGAAAACATATTTTTATAGTGCACAACATCATTATTTGAACATTATCTTATGTATTTTATTATAATCACAAATATACTGTAAGACATTAAAACTAAAATAACTTAAAAAGACGTATTTTTAATTCTTTTTTTTTCACAGTTTTTACGTTATTTTTAACTAGAATATTCTTTTTATTTCATTTTTTTACTTGGTATTGTGACCAGTTTAAACATTAACATCATGTATTGCCTTCCCAATATCTCTCATACACTACCTTCAGAACTATACTCCCAACAGCAATAACAGCAATTGCTGTCTTCACAACTGCTGTCCCTCCTCCTCCCCCCAGTCTTCACCGTTTTGCCTTTAATTTAACAGCTGTCACTCTAGACAGCCTTCACCCCAACAACCTTCACCCCAACAGCCTTCACCCCAACAACCTTCACCCCAACAACCTTCACCCCAACAGCCTTCACCCCAACAGCCTTCACCCCAACAGCCTTCACCCCAACAACCTAAATCCCAAAAAACCCTCCAGCTAAAGTCAGTCTCCTACTCTTCCTGCCCTTAATTTTTTTTAAATCTCTCAGTCAATTATCGACAATCCTCATAAGTTTATAGGTTATATTGCGAGAGGTTCTATTATAATATGACCTTCGTAGAGCGAGACAACGGCGACATGTCTAATGGTTTTTTTTAGAAATCGGAAATAGCGTAAATTACTACTTCCTGTCAACGGAAATAAATTACTCAAAATTTGATAAAAGGTCGAGAATTATATCTTTTACTTATATGTGAAATTTCAATTATCTATCTGAAATAGTAGGCCTACTCAAATTATAGGCTTTTGAAAAATTGAAAGTAGAAAATGTACCACTTCCGGTTGTCGGAAATCGCTGAAAATTTTATGGATCTACAAATTTCATATAATACTTATATATTAAATTTCATCAACCTAGCTGTAACGGTACTCAAGTTATCGTCTTTACAGACACACATACACAAATACACATACACACACAGACATACGGACAAGATTGCAAAATTATGCTTTTCCGACTCAGGGAGATGTAAAACGTCGAGATTTGCTAATAGGAATAGACCCAAGCTTTTCTTTATAGTTATTAAAATAGTTTTGCATTTTTATTTATGTTCTCCTTTTTTGTATTATTAAATAAAATCTTGTTATTAAACTGATTTTAAGCATTTTATTTCAGTTCTTTAAATTTTTTAATACAATAAAGTTGTATGACTAAAATCTATTCTACGCGAAATGAACATGACAATGCGAAATGCGTGTATCATAACGCGGTAAATAATACATTGTATAGAAAAATTGTATTCATTATTTAACATTAATTTAGCATCCGATTGTGTCCAATATTATGTCAGATCTGATTACCATCGGGGCTAGATTCTACGGGCAAAGTTTGAAACAAATCGGTTAGTTAAAATTGATCCAAACAGATTGGATGGGCAGTTTCGATCCATGACAGACACACAGACATAGGAAGCAAGTAAAATAAATGCTCGTAAAAACGGGTTGGACGTGAATAATTCCGTATGCATAAAGCTATTGAAGAATAATATAATACATGGAATATTGAAAGGTTTAACTTGGGTTGAGGAACTGTAACTAAAATCAAATTGTCAATCATGTAGGGAAAATGTAACCTTAATTTAACATCAAATCTTGAAATGAATAAATTTAAAATACTGATTCCTTTCTAAAATTTTCAAATGCGTTTAGTGACGATAGTTAATTTCGTTTTTTTTTCTAATTAACTACTCGTCACGACAAGGTCCTTAACTGGCCTTTAAGTAAAAATTGCAATATTAAAGTAAGTTAGTATCTAGCTGATCACGTTTTGTTTTAGAACTTTTATCCGTTTAATAGTAGTGCTGACTCTCTTGTTATGAATGGGTATATAAAAATGTTATAAAAAGATTTTAAAGCGTTACCGCATTGACATTCTAAAAGCTAAAAAAAATGTAAATCAAGTAACGTTGCTCGTTTATACAGATTTTAAATTCACGTAAAATTAATTGTGTTGGCCGTCATTCCACTGTAATTTTTAAATCAACACCATTTTATTACTTGAAAGAAAATAAAGATGAAAATTTCCAATAAAACAGCTTGCTTATAGCAATTCAAATAATAATAAAAGGGCAATGTGTGCCAAACAATTATACACTTATTTTTTATTAGAATTTTCAACTTAGTATTATATCACGTTCAAAACGAACAATTTTTAAAATATCTTCTGCTATGGTTTAACACTCACTTTTGATATTTTCTAACTATTACTTAAATATTCTATAGTGTTGAAATAAAACAACAGTCTATCCATTATAGCTGTAAAACATTATAATGATCAGGTAAGAAACAAGAATATCTAATTTTGTCAATTCTAGCCATACCAGCATATAAATGTAGATCAAGTTTAGAGAAGCATGGCTGATAACTAACCATCAACCACAAACACAACAAACTATAATCACTGCCTATTTCCTAGTAGTGTGTTGCTATCGGCTGTGCGAGTTTATGATCATTTTGTAATTGCTTATATATTACAAAAGAAAAAGACTGTTGCTGATCAGATGCATTCCAGATATGCTGTTTGAGAAGAATTTTTCTATAAGGATAGGCAGCTATAGCAAATGAGGTTAGGCGAAATGTTGAGTTAAGATAAACTATTTAATAATTGTACTGACAGAGATACCACCACAAAAACAAATTTAATTGGCTTTGTATGATTAATTAATAAATATCCTATAAATAATAGCAAAATGATGTAGAGGTCGTCCATAAAAGACATCAGACTTTGAGTTTGTGTGGGACCTTTGTTTCGGGGGAGGGGGGGGGGGGAGGTTCCATTTTCAAACACTCATGCAAAAAACTGAATTTAAGCCTTTATTTGCATTATTAAGAGTTGTTTTATAAATTGTTATAGGATAATTTATCAGTAGGCCTACAATAAATGTTATAAAAACCCATAGGTCTAAATATTTTCTAAAAATCGCTGCTTTAAAAACAAAATAGGGATTTGGGTGTTGGGGAATGTGGGAGGTCTGGCTTTTGGTAACGATAGAGAGTGGGTGGGGGATATGGGAACAAAACGTGACATCATTAATAGATGTCCCCATAGTCAGAGATCGATCTAGATTGATTAGGCCTTTATTAAAATGTTGATATTAATTACGCTTTTTTCTATTATTACAATGGAATATAGCCTAGTAGTTCATGTATATCAAATAACATAACATACCCTTTCACCACAACACCCTGACTATACCAATCTAAATAAAAATAAAAATATTTTTTTAAACTGCTGTTACATTATTGATAATTTTGTGTTTGAATATTTCTAGCCTTAGTAAAACCGGAAGTGATTTTGGACTTATTTCACAATAAAATATTCAATTTTGGGTGGAAAAAATGCTTTCTGGCAACAACCAAGTGGAACCATTTGGATTACTTTTCCTACCTATACTTCTACAACTATATCTGTGAAGGTATTGCTGTATTTTTTTTTGCCTACTTTAAAAGTAATTCGCTAGTTCAACATTTTTAAACAAAATGGAAACTATAGCAACTGACCACTAGGACCTAATCTTATTTTTACTTTCTCGTATATACGAAGTATAGAGAAAGTTTTGTGATCGTGCTAAAAAAAATCGAGATTTTTGGAATTAGATCTTTTACTTACATGTGAAATTTCATTTATCTATCTCAAATGGTAGGGCTACTCAAGTTATAGGCTTTAGAAAAATTCAAAGTAAAAAAAGTGCCACTTCCGGTTATCGGAATTTGCTCAAAAGCTGATACGCATCTACGATTTTGATATAATACTTATTTATGAAATTTCATCAACCTAGCTGTAACGGTACTCAAGTTATCGTGTTACACACACACACACACACATACATACACACACACAGACATACGGACAAGATTGCAAAGCTATGGCTTTCCGAATCAGGTAGGTGTAAAACGTCGAGATTTGAAAAAAAATCTCTATTTTTTTTCACGATTACAATACTTTCTCTATACTTCGTATATACGTGAAAGTAAAAATGAAACATTAATTCATTTAAAATCTACGCTTCTGCGCACCAGGAATTTGGTTCATAAAAAATATCTGCTTCGTCGCGAATACATTTTTTTAATGAACGGATGGCACATTTTTAATGGTGACTTAGACAACTATTATTTATTTACATCATTTTGCGCTGAAATTTTATACTTAAAATGTTCTAAAATCTAAAGGTAATATTTATGTTTAATATATCAGATAATATCAAAACCTAGCCCTACAGTTTTATGCTTTTTTAACCCTGTAATGGACAATGTAGGTTTATAGTTTTTTTTCTTAATTATATCTGACACCTCTTTTCAGTGTCTAGATTTGTTTACTAGCGTAGGCCTATGTATTTATATTCAGAACAGTATGTTTTGTGTATATAGTGTATATAAACTGTGCTGTGAGTTGTGACAGTCCAGTTAGTATCTGTTTTCTGTAAGTTGTGTGAGAATGTGTGTGATTGTCCCAGTTAAGTCCAGTTCACCTACAAGGTCAGTGTGGGTTAGTTCTCTACTGTTAGAAGGCCAATATATCTTAGTTTGTGTTCTACTTTTACTAGCGTATGTGTTTATATTTAGAATAGTCTGTGTTGTGTAGTAGTGTATAGAAACATTTTTAGTTTTAACAAGCCGATGTTTCATTTACACTTGTTTTGAAACCATTGTGTAATTGTTTTTCTAAAATGTTGCATTGCACTTGACCACATATAAATCCGTGTCCGTGTGTTCACAACAGTCAGCACTATGCCTAGCCACATTGTTTCTCTAACGTGAGTTAGGTACCCAAAAATACCTAGCTGTGCTCTTGGACAAACCTGGGGAGGTTATTTGGTTAGCAATCGTAAGTTCTAACACAAGTCGACAAAAATCAAGTTTAGATGTTAGACTCGGTAGGAATTCAATGAGTTTACCCAGCTCTGATGATTAACTAACCATAGAATGTTCCCTGAGTTCACCCAGCTCTAATGATTAACTAGCCATAGAGTGGTCAGCACTATGTCCAATCATCTTTTCTTTTCTTTAAGTGAGTCAGGTTTATATCCGAGTTGGGTGGACTCAGGCCATCGTACGTACTCAATCCGTGGAGTCATGCTCTAGAGTTTAGAGCTAGCAGTCGTGAGGTATATCATCCCAACATCTCAAAAGCTCTCATGTCAACACTATATATTGACCTAGACAATTTATATTTTCAGATGTACACCATGAGATCATGGAACCAATTTTGACACTGAGATATTGCTGAACGAAATTGATCGCAGAGACATCAACAAACTTAAATATGGCTTGTACGCCTACGTCGAACGCCGCATCATTTGACTTTACCATCGTGGTTGAAGGCACCGAATTTAAAAGCCACCGGGAAATCCTGAGTTCAACTTCAAATTACTTCGACGCCTTGTTTAGAAGCAACATGAGGGAGACAAAAGAAGGAAGGGTGGAGCTACATGGTATGACAAGTGAGACTTTTGCTGTTGTGTTAAATTTCATCCACCAGCGTGTCCATGGTCTGACGGCTGACAACATTGATGACATGTGGGATGCAGCAAATCGTCTGGATATAACATTATATCTTAAAGAAATAGAACAGTTTGTGATTGATAATTTATCAATTGATAATCTATGGCACTTTCATTTAAAATCTGTCGATTTCAATTCCCGCCACGTCAAAGAAGGGTCGTTAACGTTCATGAAGCAAAATTACGAGCTTGTATTTAGGATGAAAGAGTTTCTGAATTTTCCTTTTCCTTTAGTACTATCTTGTATTGAAAGTGAGGAGTTGAATGTCAAGACAGAGGACTCAGTTTTGGAGTCCATTTTAGTCTGGGTTTCTCGCGAAGAATACAGACCAAGTGCTTGTATATCACCTAACACTAGCGATAAGGGAGCGGCGTGTAAGGATGTTGAATTTCAGATCAGTGTGGGTCACTCTCGTGATGTCACAAGTACTGGTCAGTTGGGTAGCGTCATAAAGGTTGGTCAGAGTTGTGACACAGGAACCGTAGCTCAGGCTGGCCAAACAGCAACTGACAAGCCTGACATTAACTTCAGAAAAAATGGCCAGAACGGTGACGTCAAAGATGAAGAACACACTGGTGACGTCACAAAATGTAACCAGACAGGCGATCGAGCAAGTTATCTCGCCAAACTCATGTCCAGTGCCAAACTTACTTTAGCCACAGAAAGTTACCTACAGAGTTTACTGAAAAACCCCTATATAGGCCAATGCCCAGATGCCTATCACGGAGTACAGGAGGCAGTAAAATACAAGTGTGGGGTGTATCCTTTAGAGAGCGCATGTTTGGCCCCCCTTCGAAAATGCAGCGAGAGAAAAAATGCCTTGGCGTTTGTTGGAGTAAATTCAGGTCTGCACCTCTACGATTTAGAGACCAGAACTTTCAGTGAAATCAAGCTCGGGAAGGTAAAAAGAAGCTACAGATACTTTAGGTCTGTTGTCTCTCTGGGGTCAAAACTTGCCTTCTTGTGCACAGACGGCTATAGAAATTGTTCTTTTGCCAGGCACGAATGTAATTTTTATACTGTCATCTTATTAGACGAGAACAAAAATGTATCAACATTGTATGAGTTGTGCGGTCAATACACATCAGTGAATGCTTTATTACGGGTAAATAACAAGATTATTTGCTTCCAAAAAAAATATTACTCTACTGCAACCAGAAGTCGCATAGCAAATCCAGATTTATTGAACACAGTCACATTAGACTATGGTATCGACTTTATTCCCGTCTGTGTTTTTGAAAACGATATTTTGATGGTTAATCATAAGGATTTTTTCAATGACCGAACTGACGGTTTACCAGTCTACTTTTACAATCTTAAAAAAAAGTCCCTAACATCAACCTTATTACTAAATGTTGGTGATCAAGCTTCTGACCCTGTGGCAATACATAAAGACAGAGACACGTTTCTTTTACTCTCAAGCGGAGTTTTACTATCGGTCAAAAGAGGTTCTGACAACGCAATACAATTCACACCGGTAGTTCGTCTTTGGACTTTTCCATGGTGGCTGAGTGGAGCAGTGTGCTATAAAAACGAGCTGACTTTGTTTAGTGCATTAAGGCCTATAGCATTTGGAAATATTTTGACGTCCGTGCCGGGACTGTTTGACAAGATCAATGTTGTTGAGCTGGGCATGAAGTTTAAGATAAAAAATATGGTGCCTGTGGTAGCGCCTGTGTCTTGGTTCGGGTAATCAGCTGTGAGGTTCTGGCAGTGTTTTTGTTGCTCCGTCGTCTGCTGTCACAAGTCATTAAATAAAAGTCGTCATTCATTGAGAACTATCGTAGGTCATCAAACACATTACCCCAAATAACGATTGAAATTATCTGTGGTTAAACACATAATATAACTTTATCGTTTGACCAACTATTTCTTCAATTTTTGACTACAGATGACCTATTTAAGGAGAATAAGCGACATTGATCTAATTCCATCGCCAAAGAAAAAAAATTCTATGAAAACATATTTTCAGTGAACACATCATTATTTAAACATTATCGTGTGTGTTTTATTATAATCACACATACACTGTAAGTCATTAAAACAAAGATACCTTCATAAATATGTATTTTTTAAAATAATTTTACAATTTATACCTTCTGTTAAACTAGAATGTTCTTTTTATTTGATTTTTTACTTTGTATTGTCATCAGCTTAAACATTGCCTTCCTAATATGTCTCATACACTATCTTCAACATTATACTCCAACAGCAATTACAGCAATCGCTGTCTCCATAGCTGCTGCCCCCCCCCCCCCCCCACCGCTCAGTCTTCACCGGTCAGCCTTCAATTTAACAGCTGTCACTCTAAACAGCTTAAACCACAACAGTCTAAACCCCACCAACCTGAACCCTAACATCCTAAACCTCGGAAGCCTTCATTCCAACAGCCTATTTTCTCCTTTTTAGTGTAATTTTACATTTAAACTTGTTATTAAACCGTTTGTTTTAGCATTTTATTTCAGTACTTTAATTTTTTTTGATACAATAGAGTTGTATGACCAAACACTATTGCACAGGAAAGGAACATGACCATGAGAAATGCGGGTATAATAGCGCGGTAAATATGACTTTATATAGGAACATTTTATTTATTATTTAACATTAATTTACATCCGATATTATGTCAGATCAGATTACCAACGGGGCTAGATTCTACGTGCTAAGTTTGAAACAAATAGGTCAGTTATATTTGATCCAAACTTCGCTAGGCAGTTTCGATTCATGACAGACACACAGACATACGAATCAAGTAAATAAATGCATGTCAAAACAGCCTGAAATGGGAGTAAAACGGCTTATAAGTTGCATATAAACTTTACACGTAATACTTAATTGTGTTGGAAGAAATTACTTGTTTTTAAGATGATTAAAAATATGCTCATCAAATACACGAGAAATGCAGCTTTCCAATGATGCCAAATACAGGATGATGAAGGATATATTCCAACCTTATAATGTAAAACGAAGCAGAAGAGTGCGTGTGAGTAATGGATATAACTAAAGTGTACAAGGATGCACAATTCTCCATAGATTTACCAGTGGAAGTTAATAATCCCGTATGCATAAAGCTATTGAAGAATAATGTATTATATTGGTACATGGAGCTATTGAAAAGTTTAACTTGGGTTTAAGGAACTATAGCTAAAATCGAATTTTTAATCTTGTAGGGAAAATGCAACTTAATAATGTTAAATGTAACTTTAATTTAATTTCACATTATGACGTGAATTGTGAAATTAAAGTATTTATACATTTCTACATTATCAAATTCGTTTAATGTCGATAGTTAATTATAATTGTTTCTAATTAACTAGCCGGCATGACCAGACCTTGCACTGGCCTTTAAGTAAAGCTTACATATAAATTTAACGTGAACAATATTAATATGAAATCTCTACGACCACACACACTCCACAAACTCTGGGACAAATATTAACACCTGAAAATTGTACCATTTTAAGGTATGTTGCCATCTAACTGATCACTTGTTTATTTAGAACTTTTATCTGTTTAATTGCAATGCGAACTATATTAATATGAATTAGGATATAAAAATAATATAGAAAGAGTCTAAAGCGTTACCGCATCGATATTCTAAAAGCAAAAAGAAAACTATTATAAAAGTTTTAAAATGCATATTAAGTTGAGTTGGTAGTTTATACAGATTATTATATCGCGTCAAATTAATTGTGTTGGCCGTCATTAAACTATCATTCTCAAATCAACACCTAATGTCAAATATATATTTTAATAGGGTTTTTTTTTTTACAAATTTCTTAACAAATATAAATCTGACCAAAACGCATACATTTGATGTAACATGGATAGATACAAACAATAATATAAAAGCACCATATTTTAACTACATTATATCTCCATTGTGTCCTGGACAGTGAGACGAATGATGAATAATAGGAAAATGGGAAAATTAGTTAGTATTTGCGTATTTTCCATTGAATAGTTTTCAAATTGCGCATTTTCTAATGTTCCATCCTTGACGTCTAATAGAAAAGACGATTCACACTAAATACAGCAGAAGATTAGCTGTGGATGTGTCCCTGGATTGAAGCAGATTTAATACCAGAAATGGAAACAAAACTACTACAACTCTATATGTGTCTTTATTGTAGTAGTTTCCTACATTTAAAAGCAATTCTCTAGTTCAGCACTTAAGAACTAAATAGAAACTAATACAACTGATACCAATGCCCTAATGCTATTCGTTCATAATCTTAAATCCTTAACTTTTTATGTTAACATCAATGAAAGATTCTGTTTATCTTGAAAGGGGTTAAAAAATATATTTTTCTTGCACATAACTATTACCTAAAAATCAGACAACGATGTCTATTGGAAAAGCGAAGTCCAAACGAATTTATTAAATGTGTTGAGGACGTTAATGGAGGCGAGCGAGTTGACGAGGATCCTTCCATCATGTTGTTGACATGGAATAAAAACGTGCTTTTTTAGATTTAGCAAACAAAGCAAGCGTAAAAATAATAACAAATAAAAACGTAAGCCTGAAATTAATTCAGAAATTTTTCATTTTTAGAATCAATTCTATAAAAGTTGAAACTCAAGAGAACTTGAAAAAAAATGTGTTGAGTACTACATTTCTATTTATTTTCATCAATCGTAAATTTAACCGGATGTTTCACTTTCGTAAGACAAATATTGATTGGCTATACAGGAAATCCGTGATCGATAACTAATTGTTTACAAAAAAAAAATTAGATAAAGTTTTTAAATAACAGTGCAAATTCAAACCACATGACCTAGATTTCCTTTTTTTTCGCTTACAATGTGTACAATAAAAATTATGGTAGCCTATCGAATAGCACGATCCCATTGTTTATATTGCCATTACACGTAAAAACCAAATTGTTTTTGCTTTTTTTAAAATGTTTATATAGTTACCGAAAATATTAAAACCATCCAATACATCCAATCTTTAGTAAAGTCCAAAAAAAAAACAATAGACAGACAGGATTTTATAACCATATTAATTGTAACTACGCCGTGCAATATTTTAAAATTATTTAATGGGCCTCTCGAATACTTTCTCGCTCGCGTACATTAAATGTCTTCACCTGGTGAAAAAACAAGCCTCCCCCATCATATGTAAGTCTACATATTCCTATAAATAATTAAAACATTAAGTCATTTAAGATCTACGCTTCATTGCACCATAAATTTGGTTCCTAAAAATATCTACTTAGTCGCTATTATAAAAGGAAACGCACTCATTGTTTTTTAAATGAACGGATGGCACATTTTTAATGGTAACTCGAAAACTATTTCTTATTACATTTCTTATTTACATGGCTCTAAAATTTGTATACTTAAAATCTTTTAAAATGTGAAGGTAATATAATCTATTTATGTTTAATATATCAGATAATAATAAAACTTAGCCCTACAGATTTATGATTTCTCAACCCTGTAATGGACAATGCATGTTTAAAGGTTTTTTCCCTTCATTATATCTAAAACCTCTTCTGACATCTAGTTGTGATTACTAGCATATGTATTTATATTTAAAACAGTCTGTGTTGTGTATATAGTGTATTTAATATTAAATTGGGCTGTGAGTTGTAATAGTTAGGTTGTACCTGTTTTCTGTAAGGTGTATGAGAATATGTGTTATTATCCCAGTTTCGTCCAGTTCTCCTAGAAGGCCAGTATGGGTTATTTCTGTACTGTTAGATGGCCACTGTATTATAGCTTGTGTTCTACTCGTACTAGCGTATGTATTTGTATTTAGAATAGTCTGTGTTGTGTACATAGTGTATATGGTATTAATATATTTTAGTTTTAACAAGCCGATGTTTCATTTAAATTACTCTTGTTTATTAACCCGTTTTAGTTGTTCGTCTTATATGTTTTATAGTGCACTTGTCCACATCTAAATCCATGTCCGTGTTTTCACTGTGCCTAGACGCATTTGTTTTTCTAACTTTCAGGTTACACGTCATAAGTTCTACCATCAGACCAAGCCACATCCACGAGAGTACCCGAAATTATCAAGTTAAGATGTAAGCATTCGTAGGAAGTCACTGAGTTCCTCCAGCTCTGATCACCACCTAACCATAGAATGTTTCCTGAGTTCACCCAACGGAATGGACTGTTGTGCATAGTACTTTACCTTCATCTGCCGTTGTAAATAAAAGATGAACAGTACTTCATCAGCCGTATGAAACATAAAGGTACGAAATGAAATTACTACCTGTAAGTTATACATAATACAGACAGATAAAGTCAACCCATTACTAAACTTACCCTTGAAGGTAACCTTAAAGACTAATTTAATCATTCTCTAACGCTAATCCGAAAAGTAAAATTAAAATATAATAGTAACAGTTATATTTAAGTAGTACATAAAAACAATATGAGAAGCTAATCTCCAACGATACTTATATTCTGTCATTACTCAGCATAGAGTGAATAAAAAGTACCCATGAAACAATATGACTCTCCTGTGCCTAATCCTAGCGTTGATATTATTCACAATTACACTAAGATTGGTAAATTTATTCAATCACAAAGAAGTAGTTAAGTTACCGTTCAGAAGTTGGCATTCTATTGCGCGGATGATGTGAAATTTTGAGTAGTTAGTGTATCCAGCGCTATGTCCAATCATCTTTTCTTTACGTGAGTCAGGTTTCTAACTGAGCAGGGTGGACTCAGGGCCATCGTACTGACTCTATCCAGGGATTCGAGCTCGAGTCTTTAGAGTTTGCTGTCATGACTTCCACCATCCCACCACACCGACAGGCTTTCACTAAATCTTAACCTTAACAAACATATATTTCCAGATGTACACTCAGAGATCATCGCGCCACTTTTACAACTGAGATAAACATCAACACACTTAAAAATGGCTTTTTCGCCTACGATGAACGCCGCTTCATGTGATTTCACCATCATAGTTGACGGTACCGAGTTTAAAAGCCAACGGGAAATCCTGAGTTCAACTTCCACATACTTCGACGCCTTGTTTAGAAGCAACATGAAGGAGGCCAAAGAAGGGAGGGTGGAGC